ATTAACTTCAACCTTCAAGATAACTCATTTTCCATTTTAAAAAAATAAGGAAAATTTAAAACTCGAGGATTTACATGCCACATTTTTCTCAAGTGGAAAGGAATTGAGGTTTTGAACATACGAGGTAAAACCGAAAAAATACCAAAATAAAACAATGGTGTAACAAAACTTTCAAATTTTCTCTAAAATGATGGAAGTTCATGGAATTTGGACAAAAAATCAAGAGATTTACCCATTTACTACCTATATTACCATGAAAGTTTCTGTGAAGCATTGAATTGTTTTAGTGGTAGTATCAAGTAGGGACTAAGAACTTTGAACCAAGAGCATCAATTAAGATGAGATTAATTAATTAAGAGACACAAATATATATCTTTAATTGCTGATTTCAAATAACTGTATAAAATCACCTGAAAAGCATTATTATATTTTAACTTTAATCATATCCTTTTTGTAATCACTACCAAATCCTGCAATCTGATTAGTCCAAAGGAGTGCGATTATTTCCGAAATCGCATCCTTAGGAGCTCTTAATCGCATCCTAAAAAAAATTTTTTTAACAACAAAATAAAACAAAAAAATCAACAACAAAAATTTTTTTAGATGTTTTTTTTTGTTTGCATTTAGATCTTCTACTACATTTAATTGATTATTCTGCACTCTTTATTGTGTCTTTTTCTTGCCTATGATTACAAAAAGGATGTGATTAAGTAGTAACTGAACTTCGTGTCGTGCAATTTTGGACCAAAATCATACTTGTGATTAACAAATTGCAATTTTGTAATCACTCGTATGATTTTGGTCCAAATTGCACTCCACTCAGTTCAATTACCATCATTAATTTCCCTCGGATAAATCTTCTTAGATCAAAAGTTTCTTTTCATGTAACGTGATTTTATTCAAGCTCATTCTCTTTATAACCTTACATTCATTTTTGGTAAGTTTTCTAACCTTCACATAACAATGCAGCTCGGAGGACTTCGGTATACCTGGACGAATACGTTTGCAATCAAACTCCTTCAGCTTTCTGCTCTTGTTCCTCAGACGCTTCAGAGTTCGTATTGGTATTCTACTTGGTTCACGATCACGTCTATATACACGATGATGATGCTTTGATCATTCAACAKAACATAGCTCATAGCTATGTTTGATATAAGTATAGCATGATTCTCGATAAAACGGTTCACTCAAAATGGTTCGCTCGTAAACTGATCTTTCATAAAGTTCGCAGACCGAACCGTTCCGAAAAAGCTCGACTTCTTTTAGTGTGGATCTACCGTGAACAGTGTGTGCCTTTGTTTTAAGCGTGTTGGACTCCATATTATCCATCCTTACATTCAGCGAAGATGAATTCCCATTCGCCATTGTTCAACCATGTGCTCTGGACTTGTTTAGATTTCGCGCATGCGCTTTAGCGCCTCGACTGCGATTTGTGACTGAAGACAAATAATGAAGMCTAATTTATACCGCGGGCATTTCCTACGGAAAGCCCGAGTAATAACCTAGTGTCTCGCTCTAGTCTTTCTCCTGCGTTATTTGTACTCTAACTTGAATAGTTGGATAATAATGATTTTTACTAACCCAAATTATTATTGTTATAATTTTGATGGCACTTTAACTTTAGCTTAGCATTTGGAAGCTTAGTAAAATGACGGCTTTCGTGAACCAGTCGGCTTGTTCTCATTGAACTCACTGCACACAACCAAAGACATCATTAATAGTTATATCTGACAGCTGATATGAGCATAATTCTGATTTAGATGATGTACCAGAACCAGTGGGCTTGTTCCCTTTGAACTCACTGCATACAACCAAAGACGTCAATAATATTTATCTAACAACCGAAATTAATATTATTTTGATTTAGATGATGTACCTGAACCAGTGGGCTTGTTCCCTTTGAACTCACTGCATACAACCAAAGACATCAGTAATAGTTATCTGACAGCTGGCATTGCTGTTGGTGTTAGTCTTGCACCAGGACCAGATGATAAACCAGGCGGGTCGTACTATTTTCCAGGAAGTCCCGGCAGTTACATTGACATTCCAAAACAGCCAAAGCTTGATACCAGGTAAATCCAACGCATCCAACATGGCTGCCACGGTCTTCGTCTTTTTACCCCTAAAAATTGACAGCTGTGCTTTTTTATTTCCAATAGGTACTCCATATCTATATTTGCTTGGATCTACAACCAAGGAACTGCTGGCCCTATCATCATCTATGCCACGGGTACTAGTCAATATGCGCTACACATGTTTATTAATATAGAGCCAGCGAACTTTTTTTTCAGACTAACTGGAAGAGCCTTTACATCCAATACTGCACTAACTTACAATCTAGTCACAGTCAACAACTGGAGATACGTTGGGTATACATATGACTACAACACGGGCTTGCAAAGGTTGTATGTTGATGGAGTCAAAGTTCGAGAAGGGATTGTCCCTAAGCAAGAAATCGCTACAAACCACAAGGTAGGAGCATAAAAAATTTGCATCACGAATATTTGTACGTAAAAGGCTAACGTTCGAGATGTTTTGAAGCGTCAGTCTGGAAGATTAGGGGTCGACATCGAAACGAGGCTTCCAAAGAGTTCAACTAGCGGCCAACTTTGATCGCAAGGTATTAATGGGCGTCCACGTGGCAAATAAAGCTYYKTTGCAGTGTTGTTGACGTCGATTGATATTGACAACTCACTACAACAGAATATAACAAAATATAGATTAAAACGGCACATCGATCACATTTAACCATAAAAGAAAGAAAAACACACGAAACTCCGTCGATCTTTAGAAAACGAAACGAAACGCCATCGAAACGCCATCTTTGTTTTGTTTTGCCCCCTGGCCGCCGTATCGTCGGAGTAGTCCATTGGCAGTAGCTTCGAGAAATTTGTAATTCGTGACAGTTTTCTTGGAATCATCGGCCTTAGAGCAGTTTTCGTATGACTGTGAAAAGTTCAGTGCCGTAAGCGTGTCGTGCCCTGACCGTGATACCTTTCTACAATTTTAATTGGCTGGATTTTTTTCACACGCAATATGATTGGTCTAAAAGTGCCGTGATCTTGACGTGACCGTGTCCGCGCCGTGTTTATGCCTTGTTCCGGGTATTTGGTTGGATGGAGAGTACATTCTCGTGCAATGTGATTTGTCTGGCGTATCCCTTGCCGTGTCACGACCGTGTTCGTGCCGTGAACTTTTCAAAGTAATACGAAAACTGCACTAGYACTAAGAACAAAACGTTCAGTGTATTGTGGAGCTTATTCATCCTTTTATTTACCGGACAATTGTATTTATGAAATGAGTCGGCAGTAATCCAAAAATTAAGTAATCAAATTTTTGAAATGTCTATAAATATTTTATTCACCTTTTCGTTAAGAYTATGCCATCTTTTCATTAGGTAAGAATCGGTGGCAATAAACAAGGCGATGGTAGAGTATTCAAAGGTCGCATTTCGTGTGTTCAAATCTACGACAAGGCATTAACACAAGCACAAGTATTAGCTGTCAAGAACAGATGTCAATATAAGAATGGTAAGATGGTAGGCTTGATCATTTAGAAAAAGTTATGCRACTTTGAAGTTTCTCTTTTTAAATATAAGGGTATTACAGCATTCCAATGTTTTTATCGTTATCAGAACTGTATTCTGCTTGTTTACAACACATTTCGCTTAATGATCCAACGAGAGCAGTAGAATACAAGGTCAGAAGTCAACCGGCAGATAGACAGACCCTAGTTCGAAGACGATGGTATCGACTGAAAAGTGAAGCTGGGACAAGGATAATCACTTC